CAGGGCAGGCAGTACAGGCAGCACAGGTAGTGCAGGCAATGCAGGCAGTGCAGGCAGCGCAGGCACCACACGCAGGGCAGGCAGCACACAGGGATGGCTGGGGCTCGTTATTAGTTGCCTTTGTGCTGGTCCCCCGAGATGCAAGTAGAGAAGGTTTGAAATCTGCAGCTCAGCATGGGTTTTGCTCTACTTGTTGAGGAGCATATTTATTCCAGGGGTGGCTGTTGGTTTTATTTTATTTCATGTTTGCTATGTGAGAGCTTACATTTAGCAATGACACATTTCTTCTGCCAAGCCTGACTTCAGGATAACCGCTCACCTCTTCATGGCGAGGATGTTTTGCACCTGAGGGGGAAATAATGTTAAAAGTGACCCTGCCCTAAGGTGCTCTGAAATGAGATTCTGGATTTGTGCTGGGTGAAGGCAGAAGGGCTGAAAAATGGACGTAGCTGCTGTGGGACCTGCACACCTCACTTGCCAGACTGCACGGCTGTCCCCATGCATGGCACCTGTCCCCTGCGAGCTGTTCAGCATCCACCCGGACAGCCTGCGTGTGTCACAGATATCCCTGCAGCCTGATGTACAATAGGACTCTCCCCGCGATGTGCTCCGCTTGGTAAAAGCCCAGCCCAGCTCAGAGCAGCTGGCACAGCCCCAGGCCCTGCTGTTCCCATCCCCAGGTCCTTGCCAGCCTGGTGCGTTGGGCTCCTCAGGGTCTCCTGTCCTGGACGAGGTGTTTCCTCCTCCCTTTGCTCCTGCCGGTCCCTGGGTGGTAGTTTCACGGCAGTCCGCTTTGGCTGCTGGCCACTCGTCACGTCGTGCGCGGTGCCGTGGTTATTACCTGGGCTTTGCTCCCTGCATTAAGAACATCTCTGAGCGCAGACAGTAACGGTCGTATCGACTAGGGCAGGTCTAGGGCTATAAAAGAATTTCCTGTTGTCCTTTTTCCGATTGTTAAAGTGGCTAAAAAACCAAGACAGAGCAGTACAATAAAAGAGCCTGTGAGTGTGGATGGGCGTCCCGGGTGCCGTTAGGGCTGGTGAGTCAGAGCAGGCTGCAAAGGGCAGTGCAGCAGCGGTCCCAGCGCCGGTGCTGACCGCTGCTCCTGCCCAGGAGGAGGATGTGAGGTGACAGCCCTGGGATCAGCCCCCGGGGGAAGCCCAGGTCCCGCTGAGCTTGCCATTGGATGTGGGGTAGCAGAGGAGTGGTGTGATGTTGGTGTGTATCAACAGGGCGTGCTCCTGGCGTGAAAATGGTATTTTATGTCAAGTAGAGGGTTGAGGAGGTGATGGGTAGGGAGCTGAAGATCCTCATTCTGACACGGAGAAGTGGCTGCTGCTCAGGGCTCTGTGCTGGTCCCTGGGTTTGCTGCCAGCTCCAGGCTGCTCTGGGGAGCCCAGGGTTGTCCCCGATAGCAGGATGGTTTCTGGCTGCAGGACATGTTCTCTGCAGACCAAAGCTGAGACGTGTAGTGAGGCAGGAGCAAGGAGGCACGATGTGCTGTGGAGCTACTCGTTGTCTTCAGGTCTGTGGGCAGGCAGTGACTCCTGTCCCTCTGCCTGTCAGCCTGGCATCCTTCGTACTTGTTATATTTCCTTCATAAAATAAAAGATTGAAACGGTATAATTTAGTGTAATGCTTCTCATCTCTTCTCCTGCCTGCATTTCAGCTGCCGCTGGCGCGACTCGCAGACAAGCATCTTGGTGTCCAAAGTAGATAATCTCCCCAGTAGACAGGCACCATGCCAGCGGTCTTTAATAAAACCGCTCGTAAAGCACAGGTCCCTTTCTAGGGCTTGAGGAATATTCACTTGCAGTGCAGTAATCGGTGAAGCCCTTCATTTGTTTTTAACTGTAAAACGTGAAAGCTTGGAATAAATGAGTCAAGGCAAACCTGCCTGTGCTCCATCCAGATTGTGGTTCACCTCGGATGTGGTGGTCCCATGGATTTGGGTCTGAGCTGTGATGCTGGGTGAGGAAGGTGAGGAGCAGCAGCTCCCCCCATTCCCTCCCGCGCTGGACCAGCCAGCCTAGCGCCTGCCCGGATCCAACCTTTCATATTTGTGGAGAGGCTGAAGTGATGTGTGCTCCAGCAACGCGCCCAAGGTCACACAGCACAATAAATCAGTGTCTCATCAGGGATGAGAACCCAAGATATTTCTGGAGCCCCTCCAGCCATCACCAAGTCCTCTGCTATCACAGCCAGACTACACAACTTTGTATGCCTGTAGCACCCTTTTGAAGTTAAGCTGTGGATAAATAGGCAGACAGCAACACGTTCTGGGCAATTTTTCTTCTTTTTTTTATTTTTTTTTTTTATTTTGCTCAAGTACTTGAAAGTAACAGAATCAAAGCATAAGAGCATGGGCTTTTAGATCTTGGTGCAGGTTGTTCTGCATGTAAGGCTCAGAGCATCCTTCTCTCCAACTGCTGCCGAAGCCCAGACCTCCTACATGGCCACCCGGCGCTGTGCTCCGCACCACCGGGTAGCTGCTCTGATATAGAGAAAAAGCTAATGGCTTACCCATAGATTTTTCAATTAATTGGCTGCTTTTCCTTTAAAAAAAAAAATTCCTTTTTTTTTTTTTTTCCGAGGTCTGCCTTTTACTCGTTTATTCTCTGTAAGTGTTAAGCTGCTCATATTTTGGTGCATTGTGTTATGTGCCAAGAATTTTTATCAGCCGCCCTAGTGCTCGAATGTGGTGGAAATACCAATGTGTCTGAGGAGTGGAGGTTATGCACACAGATGTACAAAGCATCAAAATGAACGGTTTGCAGACGGACGGGAAACAAACCCAGGCTGAGTCTGCACCTTCGCAGACTTCGATCCATCAAACCGGCACCGACCGAGCGCGGTCTCGTACGGGTAATGGCATTATGCTTAACGCTGCTTTGCGTGCAGACAGGTTACCACAGGAAGGAGCTGGGTCTTTGCACAGGGAAAGGTTGTGCTTTATGAGGGCTAGCTGCAATTACAAGTTCTTATTAAACGAAGGAAAATTCATAAGCCGAGACTGAAAAGCAGCTGGGAGCCTGCAGCGTTCAGTGGGAGCCACGGTCGGGTGCTCAGCAAAGGCTGGGGAAGCTGAGACTCCTGGATTTGCTTTCCAGCTTTGCACTTGGCTGAGCCCGGCTGCGTCCGTGGGCCCCAGTTTGTGTGTCTATGATGGGGGGCTGAGGCCGTGCAATACTTTAGGGTCAACCAGCAGCATGGGGATGTGTGTGAGCACTGGGCACAAGGGTTTGCACTCACCTGGGAGCGCTCAGATGTGGGCATGGGCCATCCTTGTAAAGGGTTAAAGCAGCACTCCGTATTTCAGCCCTGTAAAGTGGTGTCAGGACAGCCCCAAGTCAAGGGAAAGGATCTTTATTGCTCTTGTATGAATAGAGCCCCAGTGCTGGGAATGACACATCTAATCTTCAGTGGAGTGGGCAGGCTTGGAGATTTATAAAGCTTCCGTTGTGTGGGAGGTCAGTGGGGATTAAACAAAAAGTTAAAACAGACAGATACACCAAAACGAAAAAGAAAACCCCCTCCTCCCTCCGCTCCCTTCCCTCCTCTGCAAACAGTCAAGCTTAAATGTTACATCAAACCAAGCTTAAAACATGGTGGCTTTTAGCGCTGGTTACTGAACCCAGAAGGTGCTGACCCAGAGCGGCTCAGTGAGACAGACCCGCTGGGATGGATTTGCAGCCATAACCCCTTTCCCCAGTTTGCAGGTCCTGCTGGGATGGATTTGCAGCCATAACCCCTTTCCCCAGGTTTCATGTCAGGTGGCAGCAGATGATGCACAACCTGTTGGAAATTAAACTCCAGTCTTTAGACCAGTAGAGAAATAGCAGTAAAAATCCCTCTTCCCAGCCCTGCCTTAAAAACAATTGCTGTTTGGGGTAGGATAACTGCTGCTCGGGTGGGAGTGATGGGCAGCGCCTGGCTGGGTGGGGGTCCCCCAACCTGGGCAGGTTGGGGGGTTGTGGGGCTCCCCCCCTCACAGTCCCTTGTGTTTTCTCCGTGCAGATCAGAGCGATGGATTTCATTGCAGGGAGGAGTGCCGCATCCTGGGCCACTCGGACAGGTGCTGGATGCCCCGCGGCGCCGTCCCCAGCCGCGCCAAGTCCCCGGAGCGCGGGAGGAACGTTATCGCCCTCTCCATCGAGGCGACGGCCG